GTTTGCTACATTGTGCTTATCTACTCATCTAGCTGTGGACATTTGAGTAGTTCCAACATTTTAACTATAATAATACTGCTATGAATATGGGTGCACAAATGTCTCTTCAAGACCTTGCTTTTGATTCTTTTGGAAAAACACCCAGAAGAGGAATTACTAGATAATATTGTACTCCTATTTTTATTAATTTGAGGAACTACCATATTGTTTTCTAGTGCAGCCATACCATTTTATATTCCCACCATATGTACATGAAGGTTCCAATTTCCCAAAAACATTTGTTATTTTAAAATAGTAGTCATCATAACGAGTGTCAGGTGGTATCCCGATTGGTGTCAGGTGGTTTGAACTTACCTAATGATTAGTAATGTTTTAACGCTTTTAATGTGCTTATTGGCCATCCATGTATCTTCCTTGGAAAAATGTCTATTTCTTTGCTCATTTTTGAGTAATTTGTTTTTTATTGTTGAGTTTTTAAAAGTTCTCTATGTATTATGGATATATCAATCCTAATCCCTTAACACATATATGATTCTCAAATTTTTTTCAGTTAGTTATCTTTTAATTTGTGATAGTGTTCCTTGGGACACAGAAATTTATTTTAAAATAATCTATCATTTTTTTCTTTTATTGCTCTCACCTTTGATATTTTATCTAAGAATTTATTGCCAAATTCAATGTCATAAATATTTTACCCTATACTTCCATGAATTTTATAGTAGTAGTTGTTATATTTAAATCTTTGATCCATTTTGAGTTAAATTTTATGGTTTTAGGCAAAGGTCCAACTTCATTCTTTTGCATGTTTTTATCTACTTTTTCCAGCTCTATTTGTTAGAAAGATTCCCTTTGATCTTAGCACTCTTGTCAAAAATCATTTGGCCATATTCATGAGGGCTCCATATACACCAGAGTTTATTTGGGGGCTCCTTATTCTTTTCCATTAGTCTATAGGTCTGGCTTTATGTCAGTACCACACTGTTTTTACTACCATAGTTTTATAGTAAGTTTTGACATTAGGAAGTTTGAATCCTTCAATTTAATCCTTTCCCAAGGAAAAATACAGTTTGAGGTATTTGGGGTCTCTTGAGATTCCATATGAATTTTAAGATGGCTACTATATTTCTACAAGTGATATTAGGATTTCAATAATGATTTACATTTAATCTATAATCACTTTGTTTAGTATTGACCTAATAAAATTAAGTATTTTAACACATAATTAAGAAATGGCTGTCAATTTATTGATACCTTCTTTAATTTCTTTCAGCAATATTTTATAGTTTTCATTATACAAGTCTTTCAATTTTGTATTAGTTGCCTTTCTGTTGCTAGGATGAAATACCTCTCAGAAGGAGAAGTTTATTTTGGCTCAGAGTTTGAAAGTGCTTAGTCCACAGATAACTGGCTCCAAGGCAAAAACGATGTTGCGGAAGGGCATGCTCCTCAACCCATGACAGACAGGAGGCAGAGAGACAGGGAGGAGCCAGAGTGAGAGACAGACCCTCCAAAGGCACCTCCCCACCTCCTCCAATTGGGACACACCCCCACAGCACACTCTGCTATGAACTGAGAAGTGGATTAACTCAATAATGTGTACAGTGCCCCCATGATCCAATGATCCCGGCAAACCCTGCTTCTGAATATAGGAGACTTCAGTGGGATCTAAACCATAAGAACCTCCTTACTTAACAGCTGAGTATTTTCTTCTTTTTGTAAATTTAATTAATTTTCTTTCCAGATTATTTATTTTTTTCATTTCAACTACGTTACCTAATTTGTGGCCATATAATTTTCATGGTGTTTTGTTATCATCTTTTCTATTTCTCTAGAATCGATAGTACTGCCTCTCACTTTCATTTTTGATTTTAGAAATTTGAACTTTTATTCACTTTTTTATTGGTTACTCTAGGTAAATGTCATTTTTGTTGATCTTTTGGGTTTTTTATTTTTTGCCATATTTCTTTCCCTATTTGTTTATCTCTGTTCTAATCTTATTTCCTTCCTTATGTTAGCTTTTGCCTTCCTTCCTTCCTTCCTTCCTTCTTCCCTTCCTTTCTTCCTTCTTTCCTTTGTTCCTTCCTTCCTTCATTTCCCAGTACTAAGGATTCAAACCAGGGCCTTCACCCACCCTGAACTATATGTCAAACTTGTTTAAATTTTTTTTTTTTTATTTTTTTTTACACAAGGTCTTATCTGCCCAGACTGGGCTTCACCTTACAACCCTCCTGTCTCTGACTCCCAGACTGCTGGGATTGCAGGTGTGCTTCTTTTTCCTAGTTCTTAAATTGTAATATAGATTTGAAAAATTGAGATCTTTTTGCTTTGCAGTATAAGCATTTATAACTATAAATTTCCCCCTCAGCACTGCCTTTGCTGTGTCTTATGAGTTTTGGTACGTTGTGCTTCCATTTTCATTCATCTCTAAGTATTTTCTAATTTTCTTTATGATTTCTTCTTTGACAAATTAATTAAAGTGTATTTTTAAAAATTTCACAAATTTGTGAATTTTCCAGTATCTTTGCTTCTATTGATTACTAGTTTTATCTTGTCTTTTTAATAAAACAACTATATTAAGCCACAAATCTTTGCATCACAAAATTTACAAACTTAGAATGTAAGAGTCAACAGAACCAAGCACACTGACAGGACTGTGCAGCCACAAGCACAGTCAAACTTAGGTCATTTTTGCCCTCCCACATGAAAACACTTTACCTTCTAGGTGTCATCTTCATCATCTTGTAGTAGTAGGCAAAGTCACTTTCTAACATACCTGTCTTTTAAAGTCTATTGAGACTTAATTTGTAGCCTATTGTGTAATTCTCTTGGAAAATATCCCATGTTTATTTGAAGAGGATTTTTCTGTTTTTGAGTACACTGTCCTGTGTATGTTAGATATATTTGGATATTGTGTTAGATATATGTGGTTTATGGTGTTGCTTAGTTTCCTTTACTTTCTTCTTTTTTTAAAAGAGGCATAAAGGAATTTATCAGGCAGAAATTTAAAAGTACACACTTGAAGCTGGCTCTCAAGAGAGACTGGCACACTCTAGTTTGGAGCTGGAAATATTTGCGTGCTTTTCTAGTGGAAATTTGTGGAACTTATGAATCTTTAGGAAGTTCTGTCTTGGTCTTGGTTTGTAGGAAAAGGATGACATTTGGAGGAAAGGGTTGTTATTGTCCGTGCTAGTTAGCTTCTGGCAGGTACATACAGGGTGCTCCAGGAAAATGGTCTGCAGCTGTCTGCTACAGAATTGGGCCGGGGAATGAGTATTTACAACTAAGCTGCGAGCTGAAATTGACCAAAGTCACTAAATTGATAAAAAATTAATTGTGATTTATTGTTCAAGCTTTCCCCTGGAATTCACAACCCTTTGATATACTTTAGAGTTCCAAGCATATGCTTAATAGTGTCATTGTCTATGTGTAGGGAATAATACCTAGTGCTTCCTGCTCTGCTCCCTTCCTAGAATCCTCTTCCTGAGACCCATCTTTCATCTCAAAGTTTTCTATCCAGTCACTCATTTATAATTTTATATAACGGGCTTGGGATTTAGCTCAGCGGCACAGCGCCTGCCTGGCAAGCGTGAAGTCGTGAGTTTGATTCCCGGTACCGGAAAAAAAACCCCAAAAGAAAGTAAATATAATTTTATATAAATAAGAAAATAGGCTGTTGTTTATTTTTAGTGAAGACTCTTTTCTGTGAATCTTCCACAATTTCTTTTGCTGTACATTTATGTCCTTATATACATGTAAAATTTATGCATGTAAAATAAAAACAAATATATATGTTCATATTAATATTTACATAATTGCTAATTTTGTTTAATATTTGTAGCCTGTCCTATTACAGAAATACATTTAATCTTTGCATTCATTTAATAACCATGCTCCATACAATGCATGGATATTAAAAAATGTTATATAAATGTACATAGCTATGACCAAAAAGCACATCAAAAGAACTAGAGCAGAGAATTTGATTTCTAAACATAAATCAAACGCTACCTGAGATATTTTGAAAAAGAATACTTTATTTGAAATAAACATAAGGCTTTGATTATCAGCGTGTATTGTTTATACCTTACTCAGAACAGTGATGCTCCTTTTTCTGACAGGAAAAAACTCATTATTATATCACTAATGTTATTGCTTAAAGAAATTATGGGTAGTTAACCAGGTGTTCTTTAATTATATTTGCTTTATTTATGTTTTGAAGGATAATTTCAACAAATAATTGATGTTTTAGTTAAAAAATTACCCAATGTTTACATATTTCTCAAGAAGTAAAACCTATTTAATATGTGAAATTCATATAAATATATGACATTTGCAATTTTTTAAGAAAAAAGTGAGAGTAGCATCATTAGAGACTATAAAGCAATTGACACTACTTCTTAAAGTTGAGTAAGACTGAGCTACATCAATTTAACGACTTTGAAAAATTCTCAATTTAAAAATTCTTTGCTATAAATTTGTTTCAAACTCAGTAAAATAAGTAGACACATATTTTACATGTAATTTTTATTTTGATGCTAACTTCCTGTCAAAGGCAGGTGATTTGTAAAATTTTATTATTAATAGCAGGTCTAAGAGTGATGTGTATCCTTTACCCTAAGAAACACAAAATAGATTTCAGACACAGAGCTCAGAGGAGCCAGCCTGAGTTATGCAGGAAATAAAAGGATATTGCCACCTGTCTACTCCTTCTGGGACAGAAGTCCCAGTGAACGAGTAAGTTTACTTTGGGGACCTTGCCAGGGGTGACAGGGTATGGCTACTCTTGTTCTCAATGTTTCTGAGTCATGTAAATTAGATTTGGGAATCCTGCTGTCTAGACTAAAGCCCCACCACCAACAACCTTGAGGAAGCTGGAATGTTTTCTCAACTCTAAGATTATTAGATATGCTCTTTTCATTCTGTCAAATCTAAAGAATAGGCTTGTGCTCATTAACAGCCTGTCCACATTTTATCAGGCCTCTTAGACAAGATCCTGGTACCTTGCAGAGGTGGCTGGAAGGGATCATCTACGTTATTCTTCCCAAGCTCTGCTCTCGGTTCTCCCTCCAAGAGCAATTTACCAGCTGGCTTGGGTGGCACTGATGCCTGGCCTTGTGGTCGAAGTACTTGTTCAGAATAAAAAGCTCCATCTCTGACACCATGCAGTTCTTTAAGCAGATTGGCCACAAACTGCAAACCAAACAATTCCAAAGGTCAACTGTTCATTATGAGGGATGCAATCATTCATAATCATCTGCCAGATGCTGGAGAGGGACTGAAATTTTGCTACCAGCCACTGTTGACAGCTTTGCTTTCAAATCTCCTACAGTAATCTCATGTGACTTAGGTACTGCAGTTTCTAGGCAATTATTGCCATAAACTGAAAAAAATTACATTATGCTAATATTTAAAATTAAGATCAGTGATTACTCTAGCACCATGACAAAATGCTCCTGCTGGATGTCATTGGATTTCTCATTAATATTAATTTGTAGTTTGTAGAAAAATGGTTTAACAACTGAGCTACACGCATCTAATTCAAATATTAACTGAGCCATAAATCTATGCTCACAAAAGAAATTGCTTTTAACTGCCTGTGTGATTTTATGGCCTTTCTTAGCATATTCAAATTTCATTGTATTTCTGTAATAACATGTATATTTTCTAGTAGGTTGGTTATAAGCAAATATTTCCTGATTTTCTAATCTAACTAACTTTGTTTAGATTGCCAGGAATGCCATAAAATTCTCCAGTGAGTTCTCTACCTAAATATATTATAAACCTGATATCAATATTATCAACATTACTGAATATGTTTTAAGAATCTGATACTGACATAAGAATTCGATTTTCCTTAATGCTGCAAAATGGTGGCATTGATCTCAAATTAGCAGGATACTTAATTTGAATTGCTTTTCTTAATTGTAGTAATTAGGTTCCATTGTGCTTGAGCTATTAATACACTTCATATTTGCAATACTAGATGTATTTGTAATACATGTAACAATAAAGCTCATGTAACAATAATCAAACATCACCACCTCTAAACTGTTGTGTTTACACCACCTAAACACAAAACTTAGGGGACACGGTCATAGCCTACTTAGCAACCACAAGATACTGAGTTTGATTCCCGGCTCTAATAAATAAATACATAGATAAACACAAAACTTTCTTTTTATAAGAGGATTGTTGATTTAGTTTTTCATTAGTAAATGTTTATTAAATGCATAAAGCATCATGCTAATTTTTATTTGGGGTTTATAGGTGAATCACAAATGTATTTATACCTTCAAGATATCTTATATTAGGTATGAAAATATTCAAAACATGTATGTAATAATGAAAAAACAAATTTCAGTTTTTGTTTCTTTTATATATAAATATGTAATTTCCACAGAGAGAGAAGAGAAAGAAATGGAGGAGGAGGAGGGAAGAGAGAGAGAGAGACAGGGAGGGAGAGAGAGAGGAGAGAGAGAGAGAGAATGAGAGGGAGCAGAAGTAGGGGTATAGATCCAATTTTGCTTACAATTAACCTTTTCATAAATAGTATGTGCTTTTGTGAAATGTTGAAAGATTTTTATTTGGTTGATTTTGCTATGATGACCCTTGAACTAGATACTGACATAAACTGAACTTGTATCTAGAAAAGCAACTTCAGTTGCTGTATCATAAAATGTTAACAGATATTTTTAAAAAGAATGAAACATATACATATATGATGAGGAAATATGTGAACATAAACCAAGCATACTTACTTGCATTGTATACATAGTATTATGTCATACATGTAAATACTAGCCACACGATACTAGTCACACAAGTGTAAAGAGCTAGAAAGGATAAAACATTAATAAAATTTAAAACATTGAAATATATTTAATCTCACTTTGTCTTAACACTTAAAACATTTATGCCCATTTTAGAAGGTACACCACATTTTACTATAATCTTTTCATGTATATTTATAAATACAGTGTGTGTCTATAAACTATGCATTCCCAAATGTTTTACCTGAGAGGGATGATAATTTTTACAATTTGGGGGTCTACCATGTTATATTTTGGAGTGGGGATTCATTGAAGGTTTTGATACAGAAAGTATATCAAAATAAAAATAAGAAAAAATATAGTGCTAAAGTGTGAGATGAACTATAAAGGAGAAAAGAGAGAAGCGATCAATAGGTTGTTAAGAAGAATGAACATACAAGTAAAGGAGGCAGCAATGTAAATAAGAAGGACAAGACAGATGTGGTAGATATTGTGAAATAGGATCTGCAAGGGTTCAACAGGTGATTCATTACTAGGTGTGTTAGTCGACTTTCTGTCACTGTAACAACTACCCAAGAAAATTAACCTAAAAGGAGGAAAGTTTTATTGTGGCTCATGGTATCAGAGGTTTCAGTCAATAGTCGGCTGACTCTACTGCTTTGGGCCTGTGGTGAGAAGCACATGGCAGAGGAAATTGCACACTTCATGGCAGCTGGGAAGAAGAAAGAGATGGAGAGCGAGAGTGGAAGAGAGAGAGATAGACAGATGGACAGGAGTCCTAATATGCATTTTAAGGGTACACCCCCATAACTTAATTTCCTTTCACTAGGTCGCACCTTTTAAAGGTCTTAACACCTCAGAATAGCATCACCTGTTGGGGACCAAGCTTTCAACACATGAGACTTTAGGGGTGTGTTGGTTACTTTCCTCTCATTGCTGCGACAAAATATCTGATGCCCAAAATTAAGGAAGGAAAGTTTATTTATCTCACAGTTTGTGGAGGTTTCAGTCTGTACTTGGCTAGCTCCAAGGTAGAGTGGCACATGGCAGAGGGCAACAGTTCATGGCAGCAGAAAATAGCCAAAGCAACGAGAGCACAAGGGGATAGCAGAGGCAAGCAGCCTCTTTCCCTCCTTTACATTGTATGCAAACTACCCACCCCAGGGCAGGTGTAGCACTCATATCCATAATTCCAACAATGGACCATGAATCAATCATAAATTCTAGAAGCCCACCTCATTACTGCCTGAGGCCTTGGGGGGACATCCAGACACAAATCATAACAAGAGGACATTTAAAATCCAAATCATACTAGGGAAAGTGAAGGAAGAAATGAGATGAATGAAATGTAAATGTTTCTCCTCTGAGAAACTGATTGAAGGGTGAAGACAGTAATACCAGTGGAAATGCTAGGTTTTCATTCATAGCATTTCATTCATTTCATTTTGAATTCATTCATGTTTTCATTCCTAGCATTTCAATTCATTTAATTTTTAATTCATAGCATTCAAAAATGCTATGTTTTCACTTTGGTTCAGAGAAATGCTGTTTTCGCTTTGGTTCACATTTTTAAAATTAGGGTCATACATACAGTTAATCTATTTATTCCTATTTAACAGATCTGACAAATTCCTACTAGACTTCTGCTTCCTAAGTCTGTTCATGGTGTTATAATAAAAACCATAAATTGAGTAACATAAACAATAGACATGATTTCTCATAGTTTTGGAGGCTGGGGAGTTCAAGATCAAGGACCTGCAGATTCAGGTCCTTGTGTGGTTGAAGTCCTCATAGATGGTATCATCCCATATGCTCTTATTGTGAAACTGGCTAGCTAATTCTCTGTGGACTGTTTTATAAGGGCATTAATCTTAATCATGAAGACTCTGTCTTCCCTAATTTCTATGTTAGTTAGCTTTCTGTTACTATAACAAATACCTTCTGTATTAGTCAGGTTTCTATCACTGTAACAAAATACCTGAGACAATCAACTTATAAGGTGAAGAGGTTTATTTTAGCTCACTTTTTCAGGGGTTTTACCTCATTACCAAGTGGCCTGTTACCTTTGGACCTCAGACAAGGCTGACATCTTGGTGGGGATATGTGGTAGAATAACTTATTTCATGGCAATGAACTAAAAGGAACCAAAAGAGGAAAGGGCTAGTGTTCCACAATCCCCTCAAGAGAGATTTCCCTAATGACCTACAATGTCCACTAGACCCCACCTCCTAAAAACTACACAACCTTTCAATTATCCTACAGGCTTGGAACTAAATCTTTAATACATGGATCTGGGGCATCCTCTTTAAATCCATACAATAGCACCTAAAATAATAACCTTCTTAAAAAATGTTATTTTGACTCACAGTTTTGGTGCATTCAGTCTGTGACTGATTAACCCTGCTGCTTTTGGTTTGTGGTGACATGTCATGGCAAAAGTTTTTCACAAAGATGAATTGCTCACCCTATGGCCAGAAAACAAAAGAAAGAAGAAAACTGATCTCCATATCCCCTTCAGGGACACGCATCCAATGACCTGAAGACCTCTGTAGCAGATTGATAACTGATGGTCAACTTATAACCCCCAGCTGCACTGAGTAAGCGTAGTGCTGGGTGTGGGAGGCCCAGCTGGGGACTGTTGCCAGCAGCATAAGGGGCAGAACTGGAGAAGAGGCTAAGCTTTTGGGAGTGGGGAAAGGCTGTTGGGAGCTGGTGGAAGCTATAAGGAGCTGTTGGTTCTGTTGGAGGAGCTTGCCATGCTGACTTTCCTGATTAACTTGGCTTTTTTCACCCTCCAAGAAGTCCAGGACCTTGTTGGCATTGAGAATAGCTTTGGTTAACTTTTGGGGAGCTCTGGTCCTCACTTTGAGCATTGTTTCCTGGCTCCAGATGGGAAGATGGTGCACTGCTGATCTGCTGGAGAAGCTTGCTGCATTGGCTTCCCTGATGGGAACTCAGCCATCTTGATCACTGGAGGAGCTCAGGACCTCACTGTTGCTGAGGATGGCTGTGGTACCTTTTGGGGTAGCTGTGGTTCTTCTGAGCATCGCTTCCTGGCTCCAGTGCAGATCCCTCAGACTGCTAGGGCAGATTCTTCATCCTGCTGGTATACCCTTTCTAGATTCCACCACTGACCTTTGGGTCTTCCCAGTGCAGATCTGTGAAACATGCCTGCATGAGATATAGTTATGGGCTCTGGGCCTCCAGTTGGATTCATGGGAGGCATTTTTATGGGCTCTAGGTATTAGGTTGGACTCATACAGGACATTACTGTGGGATCCAGGCCCTCAGCTGGATTCTTGGTCTATAGTGTGTGGACAGATTTCCTGCACTCTTTTATATATCATCCTTTGAGTGACTACTATAAATAATCATACAAAATATGTGTCCTGTATTATATTGTTCCCCCTTGCAAAAATATCCCCCAAACCAGCACAGCTTCTCACTAAGCCCTATTTCCTGATGGTTCCAACACTTCCCCAGAGCATCATGCTGGGGACCAATGCTTTAACACGTGGGTCTTTGGGGCACATTCCAGATCCAAGCAATAACACCCATCAAAGACCTGGCTTGCTAATACCATTACCTTTAAGGTTAAGTTCAAGATTTCAACTTATGAATTTGGGGGAACTGCACATATCCAGATGGTAGCACCTGTTAAATTTCAGAAACTCCATAATTTACCGAGTATTTAAAAATGAGTAAAATGGTTTGTAACCTCAAGGACCTCACAAACTAGTGGTAACAATAAAAACATATAAATAATTTTACAGCAAGAGTATCATCCGAAGGATCTGAAATATTGTGGGAAGGATACCTGGCCCAACTATAAAGATGTTTGGATGATGAGGCCCCTCAGTAGTTTGAAAGAGTCAGTCAGTGGTTCTCACAGGAAAAGAAAGGGAAGTATGTTCCAGGCAGAAGGGTAAGATGACCAAGGCACAGCATGGAAAATCAGATGCTTTCTGTCACGCGAGATACATAGTTCTAAAGAGTCCACTGGCACACGTATTCTAAAAAACAAATTAATAGCAAGCAATTAAAAGGAGAAGACTGTCAGGCCTATACAAAACATTGATGGGGATGCCAACAAGAAAGAAGAGGAAATAGTGATATAAAAACTGCAGCACAGAAGCTGAACCTTTAAAATACTGTGGATATTTAAATTGGAGACAATACTTTCCAAGGATGAAATGTGTTTGCATTAATAAGAGGTGCCGGCTGGCAACCCTGCAGATTGGGGTCACAAGAATAAAATATGAGAGCCCAAAAATGGGTTTCCTTTAGAGAATAAAAGCATCCTTATAAGGAAAGAGGACCCAGCCAGAATTCCAGACAGTACATAAGTATTTCACCTTGATATTAACATGTGTTTATATGCATGCATGGATATGTGTGTTCCAGATGAAACCCGAAACTGAAAGGGAACAGGAAATGTGTGAAAATATGCAGGATTTGTCTGAGAGTGTGAATTATTATACAAAATTTAGGGAGAAATGATACAGTTCCACAATATAATTAAGGACAGCGGTGTGAAATTGCTCAGATAAATGTGGCAATTGTGTGTTATTTTATAGATTAGATAATTCAGCTTGTACACATCTTATTTCATCAACTCCTCCTTATGTTATAACTTAGATATTGTTATAGCATTTTGTAGATAAGGAGACTAAGATCCAGAGTCACAAATTAAGGTGTCTACTGTCATATAGTCACAAAACTGAAATCCAAATTTTCTCACTCCAAGACCAGGGAATCTTGACAGTGGTTTTCAAATGGGCTTCTTGAGTGTATGGGTCCTATGGTTTTACTCATTGGTAGTGTGGTAGACACTTGTAACTTTTTGGTTGTCAAGCATTATTCTCCCTTCTGTTGGTGACAGTATATCAAGTATTCCAATCCCAAATATTCCAGTCCCAAAGTATTCGAATTCATCTCTTTTTTCTAAGCTTATTTTTAGACCACAGTGGAGTTGCTAAGACATTCATCATCTCTTCACTCAAAAAATTTCATGCTGTGGCTAGAGATTCTGGGTAGGGTCTTGCAAGCTAGCGGCAATTTCTAGAACTAGTTGGACCTGAGCTATGTGTTAATGTAGTGAGCCTGTTCATATAGGAAGGGCAATTGTCCAGTGCTTATCTTTTTTTGCTAGATAGCTCTTATCCATCTGCATGAAGCTTTGTCTGTCAAAATATATGTTTTGTCTACAAAAAGGGATCCTTACTTCTATATTTATTGTCATTAGTAGTCAATATGTTAAAATTTTAAATGTAAGCTGCAGGTAAAACTTATATTTCAAGTAAACCCACTAACATCTGGTGATGTGAATTTGCACATTTCCAAATTTAGGATAGTTGTGCAAGGGTTAAATTTCAGGGGCACAGCACCTGTCTGGCAAGCACAAGGTCCTGAGTTTGATTCCCAACATGAAAAACAAACAAATAAGTAAATAAATAAATTTACAATGGTTAATCTCCCCAAATAGTTACATACAATTTTCATTTGTAAATTATTTTGAATCTTTAATATTAAATTCACCCAAATTATATGTTCTCCTAAATATTCAAGGCTCTGTTAATGGTATTGATTTAATTAACCAAAAATTTTCAGCTACAAATAAATACTTAATATATCTGTTTATCTAATGTATTTGAAACAGGTAAGGAGCTAGAACTACAAATTTAACACAAAAATTTTCTTAATTGATAAAATGGTACTTATATCCTAACACAAAAGATTTAGTGATGCAGATTAAATTTATAAATGCAGTAGTCTCTGTTTATCTCTGGTTTCACTTTCTGAAATTTCAGCTGCCTGTGTTAAACCACAGTCCAAAGATATTAAATGAAAAATTCCAGAAATAAACTGCCTAAGATTTACTATAGCATATTATTATTATTATTATTATCATTATTATTTGGAACCGGGAATCAAACTCATGACCTCAGGATTGCCAGGCAAGCGCTTATGCCGCTGAGCTACATCCCTGGCCCTATAGCATATTATTATTGTTCTATTTTATTAGTTATGGTCATTTATTTCTTAGTGTGCATAACTTATACTTGCATATCTAGTAGAGAAGAAAATACAATATGAAGGATTTGATAGAAGCATCCACTAAGATCTTAGAGCATATGTCCCCTGAAAAATAAGGGGGAACTATTGTACTGTTAAAACTTGTCAAGAGGCTAAAAGTACAGCTCAACTTTAGAAAACTTGTCTAGCATGCTCAGAGCCCTAAGTTTGATTCCTAGTATGAAAAAAAAAGAAAAAAAAAACTTGCCAAATAATACTGCTTCTTTTAAAAACTGTAATAAAAACCTTTTTAAAATAAAATTATGAGTTTAAAATGTCAGATTTTAATAACAAATTATTCAGATGATTACACATTGTTCAAATTGATTGTTTTCTTTTTCATTTATTTTCTGCACTTGTCCCTGCCTGGCAAACACAAGATCCTGAGTATGAGTCCTGGTACCCGCCCCCCCTCCAAAAAAAATCACTATTTTCTGCACTTGTGACCATCTCAATTTGCATTTTGTGTTCTAAATTTGATACAGAGATGTAGATCCCAAGTATTCAAATTCATCATTTTTCTGTATTTGTTTTTAGACCGCAGTAGAATTGCTAAGACATTCATCATCTCTTCACTCAAAAAATTTCAGCTCTGGTTAGAGATTCTGGGTAGGGACTTAGAAGCTAGTAGTAATTTCTAACGATAATTTTACCTGAGGTGTTTGTTAGTATAGTGATCCTGTTCATATAGGAAGGGAAATTATCTAATGCTTGTCTTTTCTTGCTGAATAACTCTTAGCCATTACATCTTTACTGAAACTTTTGGCGCAACTCCTATTATAATTCCTTCACTGAATATGTGACATCTTATTCTTAACCCATCTCCCATCCCCAACCCATCCAACTGCAATCAGTCTCTCCCCTCTGTAGAAGTTAATTGCAGTTTGTACATTAGTCCCTTCCACGCCCCTGGGCGGGCTTGTAGCTCATCTCTTTACTACTTGGGTTTTCCTTCTTTCTCGTACAGTTGGTTTCCTTATCTGTCTCACCGACCATCAATTTATAGCTATTACACTGACTAGGATTACCTCTCCAATGTTATGCTCTCTTGAGTTGGGATCAAAGGTCATGGTGTCTGGACCAATGGACGAGCATGTGTCCAAAGGAGACTTGCTTCCAGACTTCAAATGCTGAACAAAAGCAGAAAAAATAACTAATAGTAGTGCCCTAAAAACTGTCAAATGGTTTCCTCTGCTGAGAGCTCTTGTTGCTCAGTGGTTTCCCTCTGAGTTTTTAGCCTTGACTTCAGCTCCTTTAGCTCCTTTCATATCCTTCCAATAAAGATCTTTTCTGTTGCTTTGCAACCCCAGGCCCCCTGACTGATACAGGCAGCCGAGTGGGCTGCACAGATGATACGAGCACGTACTTAGTGGAGAAAGTGCTGAGGCTGTACCCTTGCTTGTCCGATCAGCATTGGTTATCTTTATGAAGATTTCATTTGAAGAAGGGAATCTATTGCTAAAAAGATTTTTTTTGTTGTTTTTTTCCTGGTACCAGGAATAGAACTCATGACCCTGCGCTTGCCAGGCAGGCACTGTGCCGCTGAGCTAAACTCCCAGCCCCCAAAAGTTTTAAATCATTATATCCATGACTGCTAAGGTTTCTGTCATTAACCCCAAATTCTAAGAATTTCAAGGATAAATGAAAGGATTAAAACAATTGCAGAAAATGAGACACTTGAGCATTCAAAAAGCAGCTTTCCAGATTGATGAGATATCAGTAAGAAGAAAATAATCAGGACATATTTCTATTTGAGAAGCTTTTATTCCTAAAAATTGTGCACTAAGCAATGAAAGCAAGTAATAGAGGATACAAAGAAAGTGCTAAGGGAACCATGATTAAAGATAAGTTCAATTGCCATGAGAAAAATATACCTCAAAGACAGGACTTGTGGTCAGGCATAAAAAGCTCCAAGGATTTCTTCAGAGACATTCATCCTCCATTTTTCAGCTCTTCCATAAATTAGAAAACTTGCTTTAGTTTCAACTAATCAGACAGACAAATACAGACACACAGTCCAGTGACAGAGAGGAACTGGCATCACGCGGAATTGTTCCTAGAGGTAATGTCTGTGTCACAGCATTGCTTTCCAAGAGCAGCAGTCCGGGGTGGCTCATCATAGGCAAAATGCACAGAATTAGTTGAAGCAGCTAAGGTTCAGTTTTACATCCACTGATAGCCCTAATAAACCAGTTCTAGGGAGCCATTTTGAGTTCTTCTGGCAACTTGACTTCCCTTTACTTTTCCAGTTTTCTAAGTTTGTTTCTTCAGCTTTTAAATTCAGTCTTTGGTTTTTCCATTAGCAACTAATCTTCAAGGAAATACATGCTGATTCAGATAGCTGGAAGAGATTCTGGTTATTCAGCTCACTGACTGAAGCCTGAACTCCATTGTGGCCTATGGTAAGTGAAGTTGAGATACTAGAAAATCCTTGGTTTAATGTACAGAAAGATTTAAAAACCTAAATGAAATGGAGACTTTATTGTTACTCCCCCCAACCACTCATAACACCTTCCTCATTTTTCATTCTGAGGAAGTTCCAGACACCTTCTTCTCTAAGGATTCAAAACTCACATTGATATGAGGAACATCCTTGAAAAGCATGGTAATCATACCTTTTTATAGGTTCGGAATACTGCCGGGATATAGTACCGCTGAAATGGTCTCCTTAATTTCAAATGAGATGGCAAAATCATGGTGAGTAGAAGCTAGGAGCCTACACCTAAGTGCCAGAGATAAGGTGCATTTGATTACTACAATGGCTAGCATGGCTGATGCTCTAATATATGATTTGACTCATAAGAATATCCAAAAGTGCACAAAATCAAAATAAATGGACAGTCCACCACGGTCTTTTTTGACTCTACTATCATTCTTATCTCAACTCAAACACTAGCCTCATGGGAAATTCTCTATGGTTAATTGCATAGAAAAGAGAATTTTTGAAGCTAGTTTATCAGTGCCTGAAATTTCTGATATACATGTTGCTACACATGATTTATGTGTGTCTCTGAAGGACAGTGGAAAGGGAAACCTTCATGTAGCAATTTTGCTGTTCAATTTGTCTGGGAGTTAAGCACTGAGCTAAGAACTTACAGCAAGCAATTCATTAGCAGAGGTAATGGATCAGTTGATTGGGAAGGACCTGTTTGGAACAAAGTTTGGAACAATGGTGACAAGAAGGTTTAGAGAAGAAATACTGTATGTGCCTGTACCTCTTTGGGTCTAGGGTATAATTGTTTTTGAGTCATATGGGTTTATGTATACCAAAGAACCCCAGGCAACATTCTTTTTTTATTTTAAAAATAAAAGAACAAAAATATATTAACAAACACACATACATTTACAAAATAATACAAGAACAATGCAAGCAATACTAAAATTCAGACAAGGTGATAGGAAATTAACAATGGTTGTTGTATTACATATAGATTTCTTCAAAGTGGTTACTCAGGAAAACAAATATATACATGTAAGATTGATCAAATAATTAATCATTAACTGTTCCTTTCAGTAAAGTGATAGAAGTCAGTAGTACAACTATGTTAGCCATCCTGTATGTACATACATACATACATACATACATACATAATTTCCCCTTCTTTCTTTTCTCTTTTCCCTCATCACAGTTGCTCTTTACATTTAAGTAGTTTCCTTTCATTTCACAATGTCTACCATACCTCCTAACTTTGTTCACTCTTTGAGGTCCTTACACTAAAGACACAATACATTGCTTACACATGCAGGTCTGATTTATTTCACTTATGAGTATGGTCTGTACTTGTGACAATACACCTATAAAAGCCTTGAGTTTATCTTTCTTTATAGTTGAGTAATATTCCATTATGTAAAAGTACCACAACTTTTTTGTCCATTCCTCAGTGAATGGACATTTGGGTTGCTTCTACAATTTAGCTATTACAAACTGTACTGCTATAAACATAGGTGCACATATATTGCTGTGATATATTGTTTTCAGTTCTGGGAAAATACCCAGAAAGGGAATAGCTGGATTGAATGGGACCTCTAGTTTGCTAAGGAATCTCCAAACTGATTTCCACAGTGGTTTCATCAGTCTTCATTCCCACCAGCAGTAGAGAAGAGTTCCTATTTCTCTACAACCTCACCAGCATTTGTTATTGGTTGATTTCTTAATGACAGTCATTCTTACTGGGGTGAGATGAAATCTCAATGTTGTTTTAATTTGCATTTCTCAAATGGCTAATGATGTTGAACATTTTCTTGTGTATTTATTTGCCATTTGTATTTATTTGTCTGAGAAGTATGTTCATCTCAGATGCCAATTTTTGTATTAGGTCTCTCAGGAACAAGACAAGGATGTCCACTGTCACTACTATTCAACATAGGTCTAGAAGTATTAACCAGAGCAATTAGATAAGAGAGAGAAATAAAAGGAATAAGGATAGGAAAGGAAAAAGTGAAATTATCACTATTTGCAGATGACATGATACTCTCATGGAAGACTCCAAAAACTCCACCAGAAGACTCCTTGAATTAATTAACAAATTCAGTAGCGTAGCTGGATACAAAGTCAACACTCAAAAATCAATACCATTCCTATACATAAACAACAAACAGACTAAGAGACAAATTAAGGAAACCAAACCTTTCACAATAGCATCCAAGAAATTGAAATATTTAGGAATCCATCTAACAAAAGAAGTCAAAGATCTCTTTAATGAAAACTACAGTACTCTAAAAAAATGAGGTCTAAGAGGATTTCAGTAAATGGAAAAATATCCCTTGCTCATGGATAGGAAGAACCAACATTGTGAAAATGGCGAAACTACCAAAATTGTACAGATTCAGTGCAATTCTCATTAAATTACCATTAACATACCTCACAGATCTAGAGAAAACATTCCTAAAGTTCATCTGGAACCAGAAGAGACCCAGAATAGCAAAAGCAATCCTGGGCAAAGAAGACAAGTCAGGTGGAATCACAATCCCTGACCTGAAATTATACTACAAAGCTACTGTAATAAAATCAGCATGGTACTGGCTAAAAAACAGACCTGAGGACCAATTGAACAGACTGGAAGAAACAGTCACAACCACAAATACACTCAGCCACCTAATCTTTGAGAAAGGGGCCAAACAAGTTCACTGGAAGAAAGATAGCCTTTTCAGTAAATGGTGCTGGAAAAACTGGCTTGCCACTTGCTGAAAACTGAAAATAGACACAAGCCTATCACCATGCACCAAACTCAAGTCAAAATGGATCACAGATTTCAATATTAAAACAGAAACACTAAATCTATTGGAAGAGAAAGTAGGTAAAAATCTTGAAGACATAGGGGTAGGCAGAGAGTTCATGAACAAAAACTAAACTGCACAAAAATACTTTAAAGAATCAGCAACTGGGATCTCATCTTACTGAAAAGTTTTTGCACATCTACAGAAATCACCAGCAGAGTAAAAAGAAAACCCACAAACTGGGAAAGAGTTTTAGCTGACTGTCCCTCAGACAAAGGACTTCTATCTAGAACCTATACAGAATTAAAGAACATCAGCCCCCCTCCCCAAATTCAAAGACCCAAGGCAATGTTCTTAATAACCAGATAAACAGTGGCCAACTCTGTGCGTGTGAGTCGTCCTTCTTCCCAGCCACCCTCAATTCTGCTCAGTTGAGTCTATGTACAAAGTAAAATAGCATCAAGGACATAGAATCAACAATATACCTTTCGTTTCACTTGGCTGCCCCCTCTGCTGTGTGCCCAACTTGCCAGCGGCAGCCAAACCTGAGCCTCTGTTATACCTCAGGAGAGTTTCCAGCCATGGTATAATTAGACTCTTGCCCTCACAGAGAAAGAAATATTTTTTCTTTTGAGCTACAGTCATACTAGAATTTGCTTAATTTTCTACCACCCATTCTCTTATTAAATACCTTATACACTACCATAATTTCACAGATAGCTTCTTTCAGACTGATGGTTGGTTGTCACTTTACTTTTTAGTCTATAGTTACATAATATCAAGGAAAGGGTATAAACCAATTGAAGACAAGTTTGACTTCAAACTGGATAGAAAAACAGATTAGACTTTGGCTTGTTATCTGGGAGATAAGGTGAAAAAGTTTTGGGCTGTATAGTGAATAAATTACATTATTTTAGGCAAATATATTCTTTCAGCATGGGGAGAGGATGTGTTGATAGGGCCTAGCTAATGAACAAGATGTGGTAGACATTTGACTATCTATCTACCTACCTATCTAATTATTCACATGTGTTTTTAGTTGGAATGGAGCTTTCACACTATGTGAATTCTCTTTCAGTATTGTGTACTATTCTGTTTCCTCAATTTCTTGGACTGACACATTGGAGCCTGACAGTGGGTACAAATCTATTACCTAAACTCTGTCAATGAGAAGAATCTGTCCTAGAACTTGAGTCAAGAGAAATTAACACAAATAGTTTAGACACTGGAGAATTCTTTAAGAGATGGTAAAGCTTTAAGCAACCTAGAGTCTCCAGGGATAGCACTGGAAGCTGTGCCGTGTAGGCCTCCTGTGTCTAAAATCACCAGTGTAAGTGGAACAATCTCTGACTCCCAGGGCTCAATAGTGACTGATGGAGACCACTACAAAATGGCTCTGAGAAGGATTTAAAATTAATCAATTGGCTTTCTGTGTTTACTTGGGAGTCTGTCCCAGGCCAAGGCCCCTTGTCTGGAGATGGGCAGCAGATTCATAGTAAATGAACCTCTATGAATCACTGGCCCTGGCTGAGACCTGTAGTGGCCTGTGAGGCCATGATGCCTCAAAGGACAGGATAAGGCCACAGCTGAAAACACCTGGCTCCAATCCAATTAACTAAATAGAGACTGTAACTGCAGGCATCTCACTCCTGTGGTGAATGACAACTTGGAGATAAGATAGTTTCCTAATTCACGTAATTTACTCTTTGGGGAACTCTTTGTACTGACTCCCAAGGTCCTGTTCAGGCTTCCATGCTTTCCTCAGTATCCCCGTTCTTTGTTTGAAAACCAAATAAATACAGGACACCCAGAGAAGTTCTTTGTCTCAGCCCCCAGAGAATCTCAAATTCTGTGAGAGGGTTTTTTGCCTCCTTGATCCCTAAAATCATATCATTTGTCTCTTTTATTTAAGCCTTCACCTTCCACTTGTTTGGGAGGATGTAGGCCTGATCAGTCTGTGATAATTACGGTGGGTCCATGATAAGCAGTGATGTTTGGCAATGGTTATAAATGCCTAGCTCCTTTTGTTTCTGCCCCTCTTAGAAACTTAGCTCTTCCTCCTTCTTTTTGATTCTAAGACTTAGCTGAATTTCTCTCAACAAATAATTTTCTACTTAAATCATGTGGCTTATATTGGCTTATATTTATTGTAATTAAAAAGCCAACTTATAAAACATAATTTCAAAACTCTTCATTCAATAATCTTTAGCTTATCGACACATTATATATTGTGTAAGATGCTGTGCTGAAAACTAAGAAGTCAGAAATGAATGAAATAGACCCATCATCTAGGTACTTGTTGGGGAAAAAACAGACACATAAATAAATTCTTAAAATTATCATATGAGACAAGTTATAATAAGTGTTGTACATGAAATGCTCTGGAAATTGCACAAGGTATTAATTAATTAATTCTGCCTAAAGAGAAGTGTTAAGCTTTGTAAAGGTATAAAGAATAATTGATATTTGAATGGAAACAAAGGAATAAGTAGAATTTGACCAGCCTGGATACATACTGAGACCCTGTCTCAGAAAAAGAAAACAAGAGAAAAATTTAAGGCAAACTCTTAGTTGTAAGCTCCTGTACAAACGAAAAGAATATTAAGCACTTCCAACACACAATGGTACAAGATAAACATTACTATTCCAAATGGTACAAAAAGGAGGATACAAAGGAATGGGACAAAAGCTAGACTAAAATCAAACAGGTTAAACATTAAATCCTATAGTTCCATCTGCAGCATATGACGTAATCTGTGGCAAGATGTGAACTTCAAAGGGTTTGAGTGGCTCTACCCTTATGACAATTCTGGTGGTTATAACTCCCATGGTTTCTCTCGTGGGCAGGCTCTGGTCCCTCCTTACAGTTTTCCTCACATGATTCATGCTTCTGGCTTCTCCAAAATTCTGTGGAGTTCACTGCACCTTTGGCTTCACACTCAGCTTCACACACCACTCTCTCAGGAACACATGCCCTGGCCTCACAGGCCTTCTTCTGAAATCTGGGTGGAAGTCTTCCTGACCCTACAACTCTTGCATTCTGCAAGAATAGTCTTTTAAACAGGTTGTGCCAGGGACAACTGGATTTAAAACAATGAAGTTGGATCCCTATCTAATCATACACAAAATTTAACTCAAAGTTAATGACAGACAAGTATATGTGCTAAAGTTACAAAGCTCTTAGAAGAAAACACAGGAATAAATCTTTGTGAACTTGGGTTCTGCAATGGCTTCTTGAAAATGGCAACAAAATCACAAATAGAGGATTGGTAAATTGGATTTAATCAGTGAAGACCACTTGTACTTCAAAGGATCCCACCAAGAAAGTGAAAAGACAATGGACAGATGAGTAAAGAATATTCTAATAAGTTATCCAGAACATATAAAGAGTTATTACTACTCATTGTCATTAGTCATTAAGAAATGCAAATCAAAATCACAGTGAGATAGCACTTACAATGAGTAGGATGGCTAAGAAAAAGAAAGACTCTTACGGCTTATGTGTAGATGTACCTCCAAAGCTTCATGCACTCATAGGTGAGGATTTGGAGAATGACTGGATCATGAATGCATGATACTAGATTATGAGTATGTAATACTGGATTAGTTCACTGGTTGGTTTAGTATGGTTCTAGATGTGGCTGATGGGCTTATTGTTGAGGGAAGACACACTCTAAGTGTGGTTGGCATCAATCAATAGGCTTGTAGCCTGGATAAAATAAAAAGAGAAAGAAGAGGGAAGTCTTGCTGATTTCTGCCTGTCATGCCATAAACTGTTTCTCTTCTGCCCTGACTTTGAGCTATGGACTGAAACTTCTACAAACTGAGTGAAAAATAAATCTTTCCTTCTTTAACTTGTGGGTATCATGTATTTTGTCATAGTGATGAGAAAGTAGCTGAGAAAGAGACCATATCAACAGTTTACCTTAATTTACAAAAAATTGGGATTCTCATATAATGCTTATAGAAACATTGAGGCAGTCATTTTGGAAACTTGTTTAGCAGTTCTTTAAATGTTAAATATAGAGTTCCCATATGACTCAGCAAGCTACTTCTAAGTATTTTCCTTAAAAAAAAAACCTGAAGGTTCCACACAAATATCTCTCACACTAATATTCATATTGACAAACTTCATAAGGAACAAAAGGCAGAAATTACCCAAATATCCATGTAGTGATGCATGAATAAATAAAATGTGACAGGTCTATACAATGGATTACTATTTAGCAATAATAGAAACTTTGGTCTTTAGATCTGAAATGTCCCCTAAAGGACCACATGCTGAAGGCTTGGTCCCCAAACATAGTGCGACTTCTGAATTTGTGAGCCAAAATAAATTTTTTTTTATTAAGTTGATTTTGTCAGGCATTTTGTTATATTGAGGGAAAGTTGACCAATACAGGAATGAAATGCTACACTGTGCTAATTAAAAGAAGCCAGACATAAAAGGCCACATGCTGCATGATTCCATTTAAATAAAAGATCCAAAATAGGCAAATATATATAGGGACAGAAAGCAGAGCTGTGGTTTCCTAGGAAAGAGGAAAGACTTGGTAAGAAGTGAAGCTATTGGGTACGGGTTTATTTTTTTTTTTTTGAAACAATGAAAATATCTTTATATTTTATTATGGTGATGATGCAAAATTCTGTAATAAACTAAAAGCTATTGTATTTTATAATTAAAACAGGCAAAACTTATGTCTTATAAATTATATCTCTTACAGTTTACAAAATATAATATAAAATTTTATCGCTTTGTTTTTAATATCTTAAACCACAAATTCTTTAACTATGACTTGAGATATAGTTCACATACCATACAATTCATCTGTTTAGTAGTTTTTAGGATATTCATAGAATTGTGCAACCATCACCACAATCTAGTTTTATTTTTCAAATTTTATTTTATTTTATTAGTACATGTGTGTAGTACAAACTGTTTACATTCCATTTTAATTCCTTTTTGGATCTCCATTCCCTTCCCTCCCTTCCCCCTCTATCCATCCCCTGCCCTCTCTCCCCTTACCATTTTTTTGGTATAGGTTTGCAGTACATAATGTTAACATTCCTGTGGGGAATTTATGCATGTATATACCACATCCCAGTTCCTTTTCCTATCCCCTACCCCTCTCCTCCCTCCTTCCTTCCTTCTCTTGATCTCCTTCCCCTTTGAGTAAGAACAATCTCCCAGTTTCCTATTATGTATCTTTCATTTTTCTCTGTATTTTTACTCTGGGTTTCTCATATAAGAGAAGCCATGTGTTACTTAAGCTTGTGTGTCTGATTCTTTTCACAATATTAAGGTCTCAAAATGCATCCAATTTCCTACAAATGACTCATTTATCTTTCTTTATGGCAGAGTAGTACTCCATTGTTGTAAATACTACATTTTCTTTATCTGGTCACTAGTTGATAGACTTATAGAGCGCTTACAAGATCTAGCTACTGTGAATTAATTTGCTATACACATGGGTACACATGTGTCACTGTAATATGATGTCTTTAACTGTTTTGGGAAGATACATAGAAAGGGAATAGCTGGGTAAAACAGTCTAGTTTTAAAACATTTTCATAACTCCCCAAATAAACTTGTATCCATGAGCTCACACTTGTCTTTCTCCTTTCCCAGCACTACTCCCCTTGCAACCAGAACTTTGTTTTCTGTGTTTATAGATTTACCTGTTTTGCAGATTTTGAATAAAGAATCCACACAATATGTGATTTTGGGTTACCCTTCCCCATTTTTTGGTGCTCTTGTTGTCATTTCTTCTGCTTGTACATATGTGCAAGCTCTATGTTACTGATTTCTATAGTGATTCCTCTTAGTGTGCAAATTTATGTACACTTTTGATGTATCAATTTTGGTTACACTGAAACTAATTTTATATATGAAAAAGAAATGACACTTTACAATATTGAGTCTTCATGTTGAAGACAATTTATTTACTTAAATTCTATGTTCCCTCAGTAACACTAAAATTTTTTCCGTTTAGGATCCCTCTATTTCCTATTGAATTGTTATTGAAGTGCGACTTCTTTTCTTTTTGTTAGTTGAGCCCTCTCTTCTTCACACAGAGATGAGTGATTCTGTGAGTACTTTATATGATCTGAATGATCAATAATTTCCTCTTAAGTCCGATATCTATAAAAACAAGGAAAATTAAGGACAAGAAATAAATCACTCTGCTTCAAATATCTCATAGCAAGTTCAGAGATTCTTTTTATTTTGATCCAAAACAAATTTTCTTTTCAAAAATGAGAGCAGAAAGAAATAATATTTGTCTTCCAGAATTTCCTGGGAATTTATTTTTCATCTTTGATTACTCATTTTCTTGCCCACTACTTTGCAGCTACATGGGTTTTGTCCACAAATTCCTCGTGTTTGGTCATTTATGTTTGGGTCTTTCTGCCATGCAGAAGTGACTTCTCTCCCTTCTGATACTCCTTAAATAAGTTTAGGGGCCAAGTCCTTTCCAACTGTCTGAACTAAGGTCGGCCTCTCCCTGCATTCTCTCTTCCACTGCACTTCATTTCCTCGTGTACCACAGCCTGCCATTCATTAGAGCCTCTGTCTAGCACACAGAACCTAGATTTTCCAGTACCTACCGAGTACTTTTCATTTACTAGGCCTACAATAAATACTTTTCAGAAAGGTGGATAAAGTGGGGCCTGGTATCTAGCTCAGTGGCACAGGCACCTGCCTGGCAAGTGCAAGGTCCTGAGTCCGATTCCTGATACAAAAAAAACCCAAACAAACAAACAAAAAAAAACCCAAAAAAACCCGTAAAAGACCGGTAAAGTGAATTTAATTAGAATCAAACTTTAGAAACATGTGTGCCAGGCACAGTTTTAGCGTATTTTGCCTATCTAATTAGTTCAGACTTCTTTCGAAGTCCTGGTTTAGTTCCCTAGATTTCTTTCCCAGTCCAGCGAGGTTGTCCAACCCCTGGATATCTCTGCTGTTTCTGCGCTGGGTTGCTGTAGAAACCCAGCAGGGGCTCGCGCATCTTCCGGCCCCAGCGCGCATGCGCTGCCCCATGTGCACATGCGCAGTCACCGGGAAGCGCCTGTCCGCGGCTGAGTTGGCAGCGCCGGGGCCGGCGTTCGGCGCTATGGCCGAGGGCAGCGGGGAGGTGGTCGCCCTGCCGGCGTCTGGGGCCGCCAACGGCCTCAGCAATGGGGCAGGCGGGACGTCGGCGCAGCCCAACAACCCGCTGTCGCGCAAGCTGCATAAGATCTTGGAGACGCGTCTGGACCATGACAAGGTAACCGCGCGGGTAGGGCCGGGCTGTGTCCGCGCCCCGCCGCCCCGCCGCCGTGCACGCCGCGCAGGGGCTC